TCAGTGGTGAGTCCTCATTCTTCGAGGACTAGTGACATGTTTATCTTTATCGCTTTTAGTCTTTAGTTTCAGTTTTTGCTAGATCTAGTTGGGGCATGTCCCAACATTTCTAGTCAGTTTAGAGGCTTATTTCAGACATAGTTAGATTCAGCTTAGTATTTTGAGTTTGATATTTCTTTTGTATTAAACTCTCAGATTTGATATATTCAGTTATAGTATATGGGTATTCCCCATCTTATCAGATTTATTTATGATTTAGCTTCCGCATCAGTTTATTATCTTTAGTGTGCTCATGATCATGCCAGCAGGGTTAGCTTGGGATCACTTGTGGTCCTAGGTCTCGTGTCCGCGTCTCGGGAGTAGCTCGGGGTGTGACATTTACCCCATCCTGAAACAAATCCGCCATCTGAGACTGCTCCACAACCAGAATCTGAGATTTTTTCAAGGTCTGCTCCTCTTGAGCCTCCTCGGCAATCTACTAGAGTGTCTCAAACTCCTAAACGGTATGGTTTTTCTTTTACTTTATCCACCATCTCTATTCCAACAGGTTACTCACAAGCCTCCAAGCTTGAATGTTGGCAAAAGCAATGGAGGAAGAACTTTAGGCTCTTAAAGAAAATGACACATGGGACATTGTTTCATGTCCCTCAAATGTCCGCCCTATTGGATGTAAATGGGTTTATTCAATTAAACTTCATTCTGATGGAACTCTCGATCGATACAAAGCTCAATTGGTTGTTCTTGGTAACAAACAAGAGTATGGGGTGGACTATGAGGAGTCTTTTGCACCCATAGCAAAAATGACTACATTGTGAACTATTATTGCCATTGCTACTTCACAAAACTGGTCTCTTTATCAAATGGATGTCAAAAATGCTTTTCTCCATGGTGATCTCAAAGAAGACATTTATATGAAACCCCCACCTGGTTTGTTCTCATCGCCTACATCAGATGTATGCAAGTTGAAGTGGTCTTTGTATGGATTAAAACAAGATCCAAGAGCTTGGTTTGATAAGTTTTGATCGACTTTGCTACAATTTTCTTTTGAGCAGAGCAAATATGACCCATCTTTGTTTCTTCGAAAAACATCTACAGGGTATTCTTCTTTTGGTATATGTAGATGACATTATTATCACAGGAATTGATTTTTCACTAATCACTAGCCTCCAACAACAACTTAAAATCTTTTCATATGAAAGATCTTGGTACTCTTACATATTTTTTAGGTTTGGAAGTTCATAATGTTGCTTTAGGTGTGTTTCTAAACCAACACAAATATACTCAGGATCTGATGTCTTTGGCTGGTCTTCAAGATTCCTCCTCCGTAGATACTCCTTGGAATTGAATGTGAAGTATCGACGTGAGGAAGGCGATCTTCTTCCTGATCCAACTATGTTTCGACAATTAGTTGGGAGTCTAAATTACCTTACTATTACTCGGTCTGATATCTCTTTTGCAGTGCAACAAGTTAGTCAATTTATGCAAGCTCCCCGTCATCTCCACTTGGTGGTTGTTCGTCGAATCATTAGGTATCTTTTAGGAACATCTACTCGTGAATTATTCTTTCCAAGTGGTTCTCTTATTTGTCTTAACACTTTTAGTGATTCTGACTGGGCGGGATGTCCTGATACTCGTCGTTCAGTCACTGGTTGGTGCATGTTTCTTAGAGAGTCATTGATATCTTGAAAGAGTAAAAAGCAAGATCGTGTGTCAAAATCTTCAACAGAGGCTGAATATCGATCCATATCTATTTCTTGCTCC